GATAGATAGATAGATAGATAGATAGATAGATAGATAGATAGATAGATGATTAGATAGATATAGACATAGATATAGACAGATGATAGATAGATCATCTGTCTCTATAACAGGAAAAAGCCAAGAGGTTTTCTCCTGTTAAGGGGGCAAAGTGGGGGGAGCCATCCTGAGCATGCAGGATTCAAGCAGGATTAAATGCCTTCAGAAGTTTTCTTCTAAATACAGGCAGTCCTTGACTTACAACCATTCACTGAGTGACCATTTGAAGTTGCAGCAGCACTAAAAGCAAATGTGACTTCCAGCCTTTTTTCTCAGTTCCGGCCCCTTTTCAACGACCGTTGCAGCCATCCCCTTTGGTCTCATGATCCAAATTCAGATGCTTGGCGACCGGTTCATATTTATGACGGTCACCGCATCCCCAGGGGTCACGTGATTCCCCTTCTGGCGACCTTCCGTGGGGTGGGGGGAGCCAGCTTCACTTAACAACCGTGTTGCTAACTGAGTAACTGCAGCGATTCCCTTTAACAACGGGGGCAAGGGAGGACATAATATAGGGGAAACCTTTGGGCAAATGTTTGCAAAATATGAGACGGAAGTTGACACAGGAACGGTTTCAGAACTGGCTGCACTGTTTAAAAGAGGAGTTTAAAAAGCTTTAAGTAGCAAGAAGAAAGAAAGAAAGAAAAACACCAAAGAATTATTCTGTTTGAATAATGAGAAGGCAGGCAAGCTGGCTGTATAACCTGAAAAGTAGTTATCCCTCCACCCCTTTCATCTTATTCATCACTCAGGATGTTTGTAACTTCCTGTCCTGCTTGGAATTTAAAATATATATATATATATCTAATTCTTGGTAGGGTTTTCAAATAGGAAAGCAATGACTCAGCTCTGCCTGAACTACATCCATTAAAGTGAAGGAATAATTAGGCTGTATTCTTCCGTATTCCTGGAAATGGGGAAGGGGGGGCACAGAGAGAGAAAGGACAAAGGGGAAATAAAAATACACGCAGGGGATCGTGCTATCTGATCCGGCTGCAAAGGACCAGGATTCGTGGCTAGAATCATGGCAAGGGGGAGGAATCCTGGCTTGGCAAAGAAGCCACGGAGCCAGGATCGCATTCCTGTGGAAACAAAATGGGTGAATTGGGCTGAATTTGAGTTATGCTCCAGGGGGCTTAGAAGGACCATGGCTCTGTTGAGGTGGCATCGAGAAGGCAATTGCAGACATCCAATTGAAGCAGGGAGAGAGACAGAGAGAAAGAGAGAGAAAGAGAAAGAAAGAGAGAGAGAGAGAGAGAGAGAGAAAGAAAGAGAGAGAGAGAAAGGAAGAGGGAGAGAGGGAGAGAGGGGGGGGAGAGAAAGACAGAAAGAGAGAGAAAGAGAGAGAGAGAACGAGAGGGAGAGAGAGGGAGAGAGAGAAAGACACACAGAGAGAAAGACACACACAGAGAGAGAGAAAGAGACAGAGAGAGGGAGTGAGTGAGAGGGAGAGGGAGACGGAGAGAGAGCAGATGGATGGACCAATGGAGAGGCAGCTGGACAGACAGAAGTGCAGGCAGACAAATGGACAGATGGCCAGATGGATACACAGTTGACCAGTAGACGGGATGGGTGGGTAGACAGGCGCGCAGGCAGATGGAGAGATGAACAGACGGACAGACAGAGGGAGGGAGAGGATGGAACAGACTCTTGACGTCTCTTTGACACTCCGTATTTCTCTTATCCCCCCCACAAGCAATTTTCTACCCTTTTCGGAAATCCTAAACAGAACCAACTTACCTGTGATCCAAAAACAAGAACTTCCATTCCAGGCTGTGCCGTGAGATAAATTCTTCACAGGATTCTTCCACATTACAAAGTTCCTGCCCAAAGGGATGGCAGAAGACACGGTTAGGCTCCCTCTCGTTCTCTCTCTCTGTGTGTCTTTCTCTCTCCCCCTCTCTCTCCCTCCCTCTCTCTCCCTCTCTCTCTCTGTCTCTGCCTCTCTCTCCCTCTCCCTCTCCCTCTCTCTCTCCCTCTCTTCCTCGATGAAACTCCCCAGAAACAAATGATCCATCTGACAAACACAAAACTGTGTAATTTATTTTTTTCCTAACCACATTCCTATACCATAAACCTTATTCTCCATTCGGGTGCTGTTCTAATTTTCAATTTTAGTTTGCTTTATTTCCTATGGGCAAAGAACGCTTCGCCATGAAGATAGCGGAATTTATCCGTTCCCCATCTGAACGATTCCACCATTTCACCCTTCTTCCATAAAACTTTAAACCTGCAGGACAATCCTTTCTCTGTCAAAAAGTCACATGGGGCCATCTCCTTGAGATGGTATAGTCCTATCACCACGTTTCGGAAAGCCATGCCATAAAAGAAGCAAAATTAGAAAAAAATTATTTAAAAAAATAATAAACACTAGATTAGAAAAACCAAGAGGTGAAAAAAAAAATCCAGGCACTTGCTTAGAACATACTCGTATTTCCCCTTGAAGGAAACTTATTACCATTTTGACATTTTATAAATGTCTTTACTCCCAAAAAATGCCATCTCTAATGAGCATCCCAAAGGTGCTTTTACAAGAGGCAACTGGACTTTCTGGTTTTTCTTTGAAGACATTTTGCTTCTCATCCAAGAAGCTTCTTCGGCTCTGGCTGGACGGTGGGGAATGGAAGGATTGATACTCCTTGCAGACAGCTGGTCATTTGCATCCTTTTAAAGAGTCATTGAGGCCACTTGGAGGTTTATTTGTGTCCTCGGGGTCACCTGGGTGTGCAAATAGCTGTGATGCTGTCTTGGAACTGCTGAAAGGACTGTGTTGTAAATTAGAGATAGATGGTGTCCTATTCCCCCCCCCACCTTTGTTGAGATAGGGCTGTTCCATTTGGACATAGATGGCTCAACGACCCTCTAAAAGGATGCAAATGACCAGCTGTCTGCAAAGAGTACAAATCCTTCCATTCCCCATTATCCTGTCAGAGCGGAAGAAGCTTATTGGATGAGTAGCAAAATGTCTTCAAAAGAAAAAACAAGAAAGTCCAGTTGCCTCTTGAAAAAGCACTTTTGGAACAACCATGACCTGGATGACTGAGAATCTCTACAGACTTTTAGCTATACAAGTTGGGATGAAGACGGTTGGGATGGTCTGGGAGGAGGAATGGATTTCCAGAGGGGAAAATTGCAGACTACAGGAATCCTTTGCACCACTCAGGTGACCCTGAAGACACAGAGAAGCCTCCAAGAGGCCTCAATGACTCTTTAACAGGATGCAAATGACCAGCTGTCTGCAAGGAATATCATTCCTTCCATTCCCTCCTATCCTGTCAGAGCGGAAGAAGCTTCTCAGATGAGAAGTGAAATGTCTTCAAAGAAAAACCAGTAAGTCCTGTTTCCCCTTGAAAAAGGGCCTTTGGGACAACCAGGACGTGGAGGACTGAGAACCTCCCTAGATGTGTCCCTCATGAAGTTGGCTCTGAATGCAGAACTCGTGCAGAGCTTTTCTCGCAGCTCGTTCCGCGGGCTCCTCTCCAAGGCCCCTGGATTGTTATCTGGTTATGGGTACCCTCTGCTTAGAGAAGAGACAAGCGCACCTTCAAGAACTGTGGAGTAATGAGATGGACCGTTGCGACTAGACAGACCTGGGTGTCACTGACTGATCGGAACGCACGTGCCACGGGGGACTCGAAGCCGTTGAAGGACGACACAGGCACTAAAGCAAAGACAGAAACCCCCCCAAAAAAACCATTGGCAATTAATCGGAATGGAGGCTGGAAGGGACCTCGGAGGTTTTCTAGTCTAGCACTCGCCGACCAGTGGGCCAGGGACCACTGGTAGTCCGTGAAAAACTTTTGGTGGTCCACAGAGAAATGTGCAATTAATCCAGGCTGCGTGGGAACACAAGGCTGCGCTTGCGTCGCTTGCATTGCGCACAACATGAGTTATTGAGGGGAGGGAGGAAAGAGCAGAGGGGGGGACTTGCCTCACTTGCCTCACACGCCTGGCCTGGTTCCTTCCACTTCTTTCTTCTTCTGTTTTTGGCTGCATGCAAGGAAAGCAGCAAAAGTCTTTCTTTCTCTCCCCCAAACTCCGCCAGAAATGAGTCTTTGGGACCCTGCAAGGCCTCATGAGCCAAGAG